GAATCGCTTCCCGATGACAAATCAGACCCAGTCAAACTTCAGCAAGAACTAAAAGAAGGACCATGTTGTGTTGACCTAGCTTGCGAACAGTTAACAGATCAAATAAAGAAGAAAGTTTTGTTAGAGTCCTGGGATCAGTGGCTCGGTTTTCCCTTTCCACAAAGGTATTGGTTATTCGCAAATGAGAGTTTTAGAGTTCAGAAGGTTCCGGGTTCGAGCCCGGTCTTTCCCCATTCCTATAGTATTTCACAATTACTGTAAATAATGGCCTAGATATATCTAATATCATCACAAAGAAATAAATCGTCAACTAATAGAATTGTGTTACAAGTGTCTATACTATAACATCTATATTAGAGATATTACAGATAGGAGGCAAAATGCGCATACACACGTTACACTAAAAACACATAATCTTATGCGTGTTTGTATTAGTGTTCTGTGCCTCATATCGGTATGTTTGTGGTTGAAATGTAATATACGGCTGTTTTCTACATTTTGTTTCAAATAATCAATTTAACAGCATTCGCCATTTGTTAAATATGCCAACTTGTTTCTTTTTCGTCTTATGAACAATTTGGGTCATATAAGAATACTTCTTGGAATTAAGAGAACAAAAATATGCAGCATTGAACTCAGGATCTTCTGTACACTAGACCGTCAGTTTAAGCGATTAAGCCGTCTGGTCACCGGCAATCCCAGTTCATTGACAGTTTCGTTACCATTACCCTAAGACATATTGTTTCTGTTATTCAAGGGTATTGTTAGCTCTTTTTCCACTACCCTATGCATAATAAAAGGTAACGATGATTTTATGAGCTTTTGCATTCATTAAGGATCATAAAGTACAACAAAATATGTGTCTAAACTACATGTATTGTAACAATACAGTTTCCTCATACTTATGGACGCTTATCGATAAAAAAATCAATGCTCTTTTTGTGTAGCTTTTTAAAAATATGATTTCAATAGATAAATAGAAAGGGTGAATTTAGATTTTAAATTCAGGAAAAAACATATCTAAACTATATGGATTTTGAAAAGGGCTGTAAGGATTTTGAAAAGGGCTTTAAGGATTTTGAAAAGGGCTTTACGTACGAGTTGAAACTAAAATTCAGCAGAAAAGTGAGTTAACGTATATAGAACCCGTCTGATGAAACATATATGGTTCATGATATAATACATGCTACTTCCGTACTATATATGCAATTTTAAAAGCGTTTTTCAAATAGATGATTTTACGTTGTTACATCATGTATTTGTACATGAAAATCGCTCAATAATTCTACATGCCACTTGCATAAAGATTTGTGAGCATATCGAGTTAATCAACTAGTTTGATAAGTTTCATATTGCATGCTACATAGTCACTAGTGTAAGATTCTATTTATCACATACTAGGTATTAATGAGAATATAAGCTAATTCTCAGTGAATGTGATTTCATATTGATGATGTCGTATTCGGAATGTCCCTTTTGACTTATGCTCGGTACTTTTGTGTTTACATGTACTTACATACCAGTGTCTTTCTATTTCAGAAAAGTACATGGCCGCGAGAGAAGATTCAACTACACCTGGTTGAAAGAACATCCATGGATGCGCTATTCCGTCTCCAAGGATTCAGTTTATTGCGTGCACTGCTTCATATTTGGAGATAAGTCTGGAAAGGAGAGGCCATTCAGATCTCCAGTAGATGACTGGATCAACCTTTCCACTTACGTCAAGCGTCATGAAGCAGAGAACTCACCTCACCATGGCTGTCAGATTTCGGCGGATCATTTTATTGATATTATGACTGGAAAGGATGACTCAATTGTATCAAAACTCGACTCTTCTCACAAAGCAGATGTCAACAAAAACAGACACATATTGAAAAAGATAATCGAGGTGTTGCTGCTGTGTGGTCGGCAAAACATTGCAATCAGGGGGCACACTGAAGAAAAGAGCAATTTTTGGGCAATTTTGAATGTTCTGTGTGCAGATGATCTTGTGGTCCAAGATCACATCTCCAACCCTAACGCGCAGTTAAAGTACACATCTCCAGATATCCAGAACGAATTAATTGAAATACTGGCGTCTCATGTCACCAAAGCAATTACACTTCGAATTAAGGAGTCACCGTACATCGCCGTTCTTGCAGACGAATGTACAGACAAATCTACCAAAGAGCAATTGTCTGTCTGTGTGCGTTACCTTGATACGACAGAAAACGGTGAAATATGTGTTAAAGAAGACTTTTTGTGTTTCATACATGTTAAGAGCATTAAGGGGGAGGACTTGGCTCCTGAAATCATACAAGCTCTTCGGAACTTTGGCCTGGACATTGCAAAATTAAGGGCTCAGGGGTATGATGGGGCATCGAACATGTCTGGAAAATTTCGCGGTGTACAGGCAATTTTAAGACAAACAGCTCCGCATGCCACCTATGTGCATTGCAAGTCGCACCAGTTAAATCTTGCCCTTGTTCATTCCTCTTCCCAAGCCTGTGTACGGACCATCATGGGAACGGTGCAGGATATCGCTTTTGCTTTCGATTATTCAGCAAAGCGCTTGCAGTACTTCAAAAATGAGCTCCTCGGTGACCAAAACGCCAAAGATCAAATGGAGTCTAGGACCAAACTGAGAACACTGTGCGAAACGAGATGGTCTAGTCGTGCTGATGCCTTACACACGTTCAAGGCTTCATTCAGTGTCATCGTTAGTAGTTTGGAGGCGTTGAAGAACGACGGAGATGACAAAGCGGATGGAAGATTGGCAGCAATTTTGAGGTTCGAGTTTATCATTGGGCTGGTCGTTACTGAACACATCCTCAGCGGCACTGTTGCGCTTTCCAACCATCTACAGTCAGTAGACTGCGACCTTATGGAAGCCGCCACTGAATGCAGGACTGTAATAAGTATGCTCAGAAATGAACGAGCGGATGATGATGTTTGGAATGAGCTGTTTGACCAGGCTGTCGGCGTAGCCGCAGAATACGGTATTCAACCTTGCGTCCCGAGACAAACTGGACGACAGCAGCAACGTGCAAACTACCAGATACCCGACCCAAGGCAATATTGGAAAGTTAGTCTGTTCTTGGTTTTTCTTGACCATTTGATCACAGAGCTGGAGACACGGCTATTGGATAGCGAGGGTAGATTCAAAGCAGAGACGCTCTTCCCACGTAATCTTCAGCAACTCACTGACGATATTGTCAACGCAGTGTTTGATGCCTTTGAAGTAGACCTGTCCGACAAGGCGTCTTACCTGACGGAAGTTCGGCGATGGAGAACCAGATGGGTAGCCATTCCACTAAAGGACCGACCAAGAGGTCTCTGCGAAATCCTGGATAGGACAAGTCGAGATCTATACCCAAACATTAGAAATATCTTTAGTGTACTTCTCTCAATGCCGACATCGACTGCATCAGCCGAACGATCTTTCAGCTCGATGAGACGAATTAAGACCTACCTCCGGACAACAATGACGACAGAACGGCTGTCTGCTCTTGCTGTCCTCCATACCCATCGGGACACTCAGGTTGACATAGATACTGTCATTGATGACTTCGCGGCAGCAAAGTCTCGAAAGTTGCAATTCGTTTAAACCAATACCGGAGGATCAGAATGATGTCTTTTTGTGGTAGATAACCACTTTAAAATTTTTCGTAACTTTTTGATGTTTCATGGTACAATCTTCCCTTAAATCTACGTTTTAGATTGGTATTGTGTTGTATATTTCTTTATCTCATCTTTTGTATCGTAAAGTTGTTTTTGACAAATGTGAAAAGTGAGATTAAAATCTTTATAATCTTTATATATGCTGGTCTTTTTAATAATTTCGAATGATTACAATGCTGTAATCAAAATACCTTCAGCTGCCGCCCCTGCACCCCCAAGCATGCAATTGAATGAAGGCCTCGCTACGCCACTGCTAGATATAATGAAATAGACAAATAAAAAACAAAACATGTGATGATTTTTTTTATAATTCTTTAAACAGCAGACAACTATTAGCTGTTAATAATAAATGTAAATCAATATCAGAAATACTGTCAGTTCTTACCATTGCTTGTGAAGTGATTGATTCTAAGGTGACCGATAAGGCCCATGGGCCTCTTGTTTCTAATCTTAAATTAATTTTTCAATGTATTTTTATGCACAATATGCGTACCTCAAGTGATTTTGCTTATTATTTTAGATTTATGATCTTTACATTTATTTACTTCTTTTTTTTTGTTTGATATTTATGTATTTTATACATCCGTCAAATGACAGGACATATTATGGTATTCTCGTCTTCCATCCGTCCATCTTCCGTCCGTATGTCCCTCTGTTCGTAAACATTTCAATGTCCCAGCGATTTTGGAATTTATTAAGCCTTAACAGATTTCTTTTAACTTTCATTGCAAGCTTAAGTACAATCAAAGCTAGATTGAGTTTGATTTCCATGATTTTTGATCCACAACTTTTAGAGTTACGGCCCATTAATGTCTGTAACCTTTCCAATGTCGGTGCAATAACTTTGCAAAGTATTACGCAATTACCATTGAAACAAATGCAATATATTATATACAGCATAAATAGTGTAGGTGATAGTCAGACAAAATCACAGGCGTATTTCGTGACCTGAAACAGGCTCTTGTTTTTTTTTTTTTTTTTTCGTGTGACAAATTAAAATGATTGTTCAATATATGAATATTGTCAGCATTCCATTATACCTTCATAGATCCCTATTAGGATAAACTGACGGGACAGAGCTTGTTTGTTACACTATCAGAATAATGTAAATCACTCATACTGGTGGAGGAATTACAGTGATTCTAGCATTAAGTTGTATGGTTGCCAATTTATTTGCAGATAAGTCAATACCATTATTACTATTGCAGCCATGGTCTTTTGATGGCGTCGTTAACTTCACCTTGTCAGAATATCCTAATGGGGCAATATTTTGTACATCATGTGAGAAAAAAAAGCATATTTACAAAATTAATAACCAGAAGTAGCAAAATCACAGGGACTTTTCGAAATTATTTTTATTATCTTAATTATCTAGACAAGCCATTGTGGCTACATATAAATATGCAAGTGTTTCTGACTTCGTTTTAAATAAAAAAAATAGTTGTGGAGTGATGGCTTTTGATAATGGATATATGTATATCTAGTTTTGATATATGCTTTATTTGACAAGGAATGTCAATTTATTGTTGTTAATAAAGTTACTGTTTCAATTTTGTTGTCATTGGTCCGTTTTTCCTTGGCCCGGAACTATTTCTGAAGGCGTCTATTTGCATCAACACTGCATCGTCATGCCGGTAATTACGGGCTTAAAATAGATTTTCTGTTGACCAATTTCATTTGACAGATGGGATTAAATCCCTAATGCGTCATATCGAGCGTAATAGCTTATTGGATAAATATTTATAGCAACCTATATTGAACTTGGGGAAACCCGTTCGTCCGCCATGGTGTTTCACGTTGTAATAGCAGCAAGCTGCAAGATGAACTCGAGTAATTTTACGGATGTTTCCTTTGATTGCTTTTCATTATAACTACTGGAGCATGCATAAAACATCCTTGTGTCGTTGTCACGAAATGTAATAGATGTAGCAACAACCATTTGTACCTTAACTTTAATAAAAACATGCCAAATGTCGTATCTTTCTAATGGGAAGCCTGTTACGACGGAGATGTGAAGGGGACGTAACTCTTGGCGAACGACTACTATGTTCTGATATGAAACAGCATTCAGTGATCGAAGAAATCATTTTAACTACTATTTTAGATTCATCTTTTCAAAATCTACTACGTTCCAGATCTCAAATGTTCCTATGTTAAACCTTTAAAAGTTGGCATGTCTTTTGATCGTGTTGAACAATTAGAAATTATCAGTCACAATGTTTTCCACATTTGCCTCCTCCGGCGGTATAGGCAGCCCCTCCGGCTACGACGCCCCCCAGGGCCTGACCAGCAATTCCTACACCAGCTGCTCCTGCCGATTGCATAACCGAGACGGCACTGCCTGCGGCAATACTGCCACCATAGGTAGACATCAAGGCTGCTCCAGCAGACCCAGCTGCCGTCCCGGCTGCAGTGAAGCCAGCGGCCCCTAATGCGGCGGATGCTACAACAGGGGCTGCTACAACACCTACAACGGCACCACCTGCAGCGAGTGCTACATCCTGCCAACACACACAGTTCACTGAAACAAGAATACAAAAATGCATTTTATTACAAGATATACATCTGGTAGAATGTAGGTAGTCATTGATCAAGCAGAGAAAAACACGACCTAATCTGATAAGTTATTGGCCAAGGAAATCTTTCCAATGTTTTGACTCAGCAGTGAAAAATTCTCTCTTAATGATAGGTCTGACTACTTTGTACGAACAACAGCTTTTTGTCACATTTGTTTAGCTGTGTTTATTGCCGGACATTGTTGATGATGATGATGATGATGATGATTGTGCCGCTTCCCTGAGAGACAAACTGTCCCGGATTGTGCTACTAACAACAGAATCAAACAGTAACCGACTGGTCGCTCATTTGTGAAACACAGGATTTTTCCGCTCACCTGAGCGACAGTGTCCCGAATTTTACTCTTCACCAGAGAAATACACAGTACAGGATTGTGCCGCTCAGCTGGAATCTACCAATTTCGATTAACTATTCGGGGTTGTAGCTTCGCTCAATTTTTATTGCATATGTTCATTAATCTGGACGAAAACTGATACATATCACATTTACCATAACTAGAGTTGACACATATCGCATTCACCATGACTAGAGAGGACACATATAACACTCACCATGACTAGAGAGGACACATATCACACCCACCATGACTAGAGAGGACACATATCGCACCCACCAGGACTAGAGAGTACACATATCGCACCCACCGTGACTATAGAGGACACATATCGCACCCACCGTGACTAGAGAGGACACATATCGCACCCACCGTGACTATAGAGGACACATATCGCACCCACCGTGACTAGAGAGGACACATATCACACCAACCAATGTCTAGAGAGGACACATATCACACCAACCAATGTCTAGAGAGGACACATATCACACCCACCAATGTCTAGAGAGGACACATATCACACCCACCATGACTTGAGCTGACACATATCGTACTCACCATGACTTGAGCTGACACATATCGTACTCACCATGACTTGAGCTGACACATATCACACCCACCATGACTAGAGAGGACATATATCACTCTCACCACCTCTAGAGAGGACACATATCACGCTCACCATGACTTGAGCTGACACATATCACACTCACCATGACTTGAGCTGACACATAACACACTCACCATGACTTGAGCTGACACATATCGTACTCATCCTGACTTGAGCTGACACATATCGTACTCACCATGGCTTGAGCTGACACATATCGCACTCACTATGACTAGAGAGGACACATATCGTACTCACCATGACTTGAGCTGACACATATCGTACTCACCCTGATTAGGAAATACTCCTGCCAGAAGAACCAGATATACAATCGCATAATATGAAGACTTCATTTTGAAGAGTTCTGTGGATAAACAAAACGAAACGGTATGTTTATCATCAGCAGTTTAAACTTGACTGTACTCTGATAATATGTGATGAGATCTGAGGATCTGTGATGGGATACTGAGGATCTGTGATGGAACATTGAAGATCTGTGACGGGACTTTAAAAGATCAATAATGGGATGACCTGTGATGGGATGATGACCTGTGAAATGATTCTGATTGCATATGATAGGATTCTGAAGATCTGCGATTGGGCGATGAGGATGTGTGATGGGATTCCTAACCTAACCTAACTAAAAGACTTTTCCTTACAACTTTTAAAACCTTTAAACATATTTCAACAGGATACCATGAGTCCCCTTAGTATGGTGGCTGATTCGGGACATCGTAATATCGCTTCGTTTAATGGGAAGCGAGATTGCGATATCACGATAACACGATGCGATATCACGATAGCACGATGCGATATCACGATAACACGATGCGCTATCGTGGTCTCGCATCGCGCTATCGTGTTATCGCTTCTAGCTATCGTGATATCGCATCGTGGTATCGTGATATCGCAATCTCGCTTCCCATTAAACGAAGCTATATTACGATGTCCCGAATCAGCCACCATATCTAAGCGCTTGTCGAGTCGTACGCACGGGAGCCCACAGGTAGAAAGGAGTCAGTCATGGATAAAGGTTTACTCGGGGACCCGTGGAGCCATAGTTATATAGGTCTGTATCCTTGATAGAGGTTACACACTTAACATGTCAGGCTTATTTCGGATTTGAATCCGTGATAACAAAACAATCAATGTTCAAAATCACAAACATAAAATAGCGACTTTCATTGATTATTGTAAAACTCAGAGTGTTACAATTGAGTTCAAGAGTATCTATTGAATAAAAACATAACCATGTATTACATGAGTGCATATGGTCAGTTATTTCGAAGGACGCGTCAGTAATTTTCCAACTGAGAACCACTGATGTTTACTGGGCAGGTGTGAACTATAGCCATCTCTTTCATGAGCTAATCTCGCATCGTTTGACTCTATGTCCTATATAATTTCACACATTACCATAGTCAATATTCAAAGATATCATGATAAAGACACCCTAGATTTGGTTATACAAATAAAACTGCGAGAAGATCAAGAATTTGAAAATGCATTTGAACAGAACAATCGATTATTACTGTAGCAATAAAAATGTGACGACTATTTTTTCTCCGGAATTTCCTTTTCAAAACAAATTGAATTTTCGAGTTGCTCTTGCTACTTTTTGTGATAAATACTTTCTGTTTACTTAAGAATTTTTTAAAACAAAAATTCACAACTGAAATATATCACTCTGTATCGAAGAAAGTAATTTGTAAATCCGTGGCACTAAAAATCTCAATCATATCCCGTCTGACCAATGTAATTTTTATGATTCTCCTTTCTAGTTTATTAGTATTATTTTTGTTACGAAAATGAGATTCCCTTTTCACTGTTCGACAAATTGGCTGTGGTCAAGCCGGTATTTGCAAAGACAGCATCTATTTTGTAGTGGAAGGGGCACAGGTAACTAACAAAGTGAAGGCTTCCATGGTCCAATGAGCAGACACAAATGCTAAACATGGATATTGACTGAGAAACAATTGAAAACACACAAAGCAAACAGACAACAATGCAATTAGTCGTGATTTGTATAGTAATAGCTCTTATACGTTGTTAAGAAAACATATAACGATTTAGTATAGATGTACAGCATAATGACTCATCGATACACATACATTGGTGACATGTTTACCTGTATAGCGATGGAAATTTTCAAACACAACTAAGTAGTATCAATGTGTTGGAAAGTAACTACACTTTATAGCCAGAGGTATACATTTGGATATTTTTTCCGTAATTATGCTTTTATTTCACATTGACGTTGTCAAAATAATCGTTTTGTTAAACATTTGGCAAGACTATGAAGGAGATTCGTGTGTAGATTTCAACCAATAAATGACACAACTAATTTTCATATGAAAATTATAATAATTTTAATTTGGAATCGAAAAATTTTTTGTCTATAAAACGATCCATTAATATCTTTCTTAAAATGCCACTATATAGTCTATAGTAAAAAATCGTACACTTTGTGCGACAAATCTGCGCATGCGCGTCGCAATATGTGTCATGTTAGTGTAGCAGGGTTATCCCCCTTCTCGGAACTCCTGTCTATATTTGGTAGCGGGGATTTCCATTATCTTTGGTAGCAATAAACAGTTAATTTGCATTTTTCCTGAAATTATTTGTCATGTTTGAGATATACAGGTATAGCAGATTGGTTATGGAAAATACATCATTACATGTATATATATTTATAAACTATATAACAATTACATTAACAGTAGAGAGATGAAATTTGTGTAAAAAAAAAAATTTCCTCTGATTTCTGACATTTGATTGTCATGGTTACCTACTGAAAAAATGCTAAAAATGCAAAAATACTGCTAATTCCAACCCAACACTACAACTTTCTAGGAGAAATTTAATTCTAAACACCTATCTTACAATCAACAACACTGTCATGGTAACAAAGTACTTACATTTCAGCAAATTCCAACTCGGAAATTCTTCATAACATGACCACATGTGAACACTATGAAAATTTCACTTCCTGTAAAGCTAGTTTTTGGTGCGTAGACACAGATTCGAGACTGCCCAAATAGTAATCTCCAACACAAAGCTAAAATATTATCCTGAAAAAAATGAAACCCCACATTGTCCACTTTAACATGACAGAACCAATTTTAGCAAGGATTTTATTTTTCATTTTTAATTAAAACCTTTATAATGGGGTAATCTAATGAGCAAAAAAATCACCCATGGCCACACCGAGAAACTGTGTACTGCTACCTTTGTCGTATGCTGAACGTTTCGAGATGTCGGACGTGTTTACATCGCTGAGCGATTCACACAGTACAATTCTAGGAATTTTACCGTCTCTAGTCCCCCAAAGAGTGAGTTTATTGTCCCATACAAGTTGAAGAATTATGTTCTTCCAATTGTTGTAAAATAGTCACTGCATTTGATACGCTACACAAGTTGGAACTTATTACCAATTTGCCAATTTTTCCACTGTCCCATTTCGCCCCATAATGTTTTCATCCTGAATCGACCCACTATTTGCTCCCATCTCGATTTCGTGTTCTTTCTATGTTTTTGCTAAATATGAGCCTTAGTAGATTTTTCCCAATTACTCGTGTTGTGTGCCCAAATTTTGGTAAGTGACTTATGAGTGTTCATTTTGTTCTTTCAGTTTTTCACTACATACATGCTCACATCCGTAGTCTGATCTAAATACATACATCGATCAACATGTTGTACTTCGTTTGACTTCTGCGTGTTAGCGACATACTTGAAGTATTGCTTTTTCTGGAATAAAATCGAAGCCAACATTTCTACATGCTTCAAGCGTTTTTCATTTTCATCGATCACAGGCTTGATAATATGTCCTCAATAGCTGCATATGCAATGTCAAATGACGAAAGAATACTCATTTGGTTACAATACCGCCTTGGCATTAACAAATAAGCTAATTAACGGGGCCCCAAATATAATGACCGAACTAAAAAACGATACCAATTAGTACCTTAGAAACCGACACAAATGTCGTCAATAAAAACAGTTGTTAGGAACAATAAAACAATTACTCACCTGCAGTTAGTACGTGTAGTGATCACAATCTTCCTAGCATAGAACTTTTCAAAATGAGCCCAACACAACACAGTTTGCGTTTTTAATATCACGGAAACTTACCTGTCAGTTCATTATTGGTCAATCGTCGGTCACGTGAGTTGCATAATGTAATCTATTTCTTATCCATATTCAAACCGGTTTGTAAAGAAGTTAATAATCGGTGTTCAAGACGTGTCAAAAACACTGGGGGTATCAAAAACAATTACAAATAAATAAATCAAGAACGCCCATTGCATGGTTTAGACCTGGGTAATAGGAATTGATTTTGGCGTTTAACTCCTGAATATCCAGAACGATGAACTTGTCGGTAGTTTCCTGTTTCAATGTGAATTATGCTTTTATTTCACATTGACGTTGTCAAAATAATCGTTTTGTTAAAAATTTGGCAAGACTATGAAGGAGATTCGTGTGTAGATTTCAACCAATAAATGACACAACTAATTTTCATATGAAAATTATAATAATTTTAATTTGGAATCGAAAATTTTTTTGTCTATAAAACGATCCATTAATATCTTTCTTAAAATGCCTCTATATAGTCTATAGTAAAAAATCGTACACTTGTGCGACAAATCTGCGCATGCGCGTCGCAATATGTCCTCAATAGCTGCATATGCAATGTCAAATGACGAAAGAATACTCATTTGGTTACAATACCGCCTTGGCATTAACAAATAAGCGAATTACTGCGCCCCAAAGATAATGACCGAACTAAAAAACGATACCAATTAGTACCTTAGAAACCGACACAAATGTCGTCAATAAAAACAGTTGTTAGGAACAATAAAAAAATTACTCACGTGCAGTTAGTATATGTAGTGACAACAATCTTCCTAGCACAGAACAAAATGAGCCCAACACAACACAGTTTGCGTTTTTTATATCACGGAAACTTACCTGTCAGTTCATTATTGGTCAATCGTCGGTCACGTGAGTTGCATATTGTAATCTATTTCTTATCCATATTCAAACCGGTTTGTAAAGAAGTTAATAATCGGTGTTCAAGACGTGTCAAAAACACTGGGGGTATCAAAAACAATCACAAATAAATAAATCAAGAACGCCCATTGCATGGTTTAGACCTGGGTAATAGGAATTGATTTTGGCGTTTAATTCCTGAATATCCAGAACGATGAACTTGTCGGTAGTTTTCTGTTTCAATGTGGTGCTGGTAGAATTACAACACTTCAAATTTCGGGTATACCAAGTATAATATTACCACAGACGAAGAATACCATTCCTGTCGGTCTGTCTTTACTTCGTATCGATGACGTATTTTACCTTCACTTTCGATTTCTTAGCCTATCAATGTCTTTCCTGGAATATTTGAATCACTTTCGGTTTATGGCGATATATTGAATTATTAACCAGGCAAAGACTAAATTTAAACTCTGTAATCAAGTCGACAGTACATAATTTCATTTGCGGTCTTCACATTTCATTTCGAGCACATTTCATTGGTCAAACAAACATAAAGGCAATAGAAACAGAGAGATAACAAAAACGACATATTTTCTTCTGGTTGATAATGTCGATACATTACAAACAAGACATGCATTAGATGGTTACAATGTACTTGAGTCAATTCCGCTATGTTTTGTTTATCACTTGTTCATTTTCCCCAATAATCTGTTTACCATCAACAGAAAAATGGTAATTATGACTCATACATGGAGATTTCACAATTTGCCCGTGCTGACTTACAATGGTGGGCAGATAACGTCAAAACTGCGTTTAAACCTGTCACACGTAAGGCCTATGCTATTAATATCACAACAGATAGCTCTAGTTACGGCTGGGGTGCAGTTTTGGAAAATGAAAGGACGAGGGAGAAAGTGAAAACTGGTGGTCATTGGTCATCTGATGATCAGGCTGACCACATTAATGTTCTTGAATTCCATGCTGCGTTTTTAGCCATTCAGTGCTTCAACAATCATATTTGTGGACAACATGGTAGGTTAAACCTTGACAACATGGTGGCCATTGCGTACAGTCATTCACTTTATTTGTTTACAATAAAAGCAGACAGCAACATCAACAGAAGTGGCAAAATCTGGAAATTTGGGAGGGGTGTGATATCAATTTCTTGGTCTGTCATGACTCCTGATCAGGGCCAATATTGATCATAGTCCATTCTAAGTCAAAGTTGATACCATGTATATATTCACAAACTTTATTGACAAAATAAACCCATAAAGACACATTTTCAAACAATGTATTGCAAGTAAACATAATGAAAAATTATCCAATATCCTCAATGAAATTACATCTGTATAATTCCACTTTTTATGTATAATGAGATTAAAAAATCACCACTGGATTTTAGTATGGATAATTCCTTGGGTGTTTAGGCAATCATGCCTTTGAGATTTATGTACTAAGGAAACAATTGTATATTGTGCGACACATTCATCAATATAACTTTAAGTGTGATTTTAATTTTTGCAACTTTCATGAGGTCATGATAACATTGAGTTTCTGACATATTCATCATGAACTGTAATAAAGAGCAGTGTTAACAAGCTGACAGTATGTTGCAACTAGGATCCCCAAGGTTACATCTGTAAAATATTTGATTACTTGGGAAAAAGACATGTATAGGTTGCCTAAATGTGGGTACATGTACATTTAATTTGACTATTATGATTATTCCAGGAAAATTGGCAGCCAGAAATAAAGGGTTTCTATAAACGATGGGTGGATCAGGGAGGGGACTTTTTTTTGCCATGTATGAACACAGTGTAACATTTCACTGTATTATTTTCAGTGTTGGGGTAGAAGTCCAATCTGTGTTCCAGATTAAGAAACAATATGACAACATTAAACAGAGAGGTATGCATGTCATAATGTACTTACAAGATAATATTGCTTTTTTTTAAGTACAATGAAAATAAAAAAGAGTTTTAAAGATAAATATTAACCATCTTCAAGTTATAAAATATAAATATTGCAACATAAAAATCCTTCATTATATTGTACATATATGTGCAGAATTGTATTTTGTGTCTTAATGCAAAATTAAAACAGTTCGGGTAGAAGAATATCAATTCAGGCCACTACACTTCTTATTGCTTATTTGAGATAGAAAAAAAATGTCCTCCAGTTTTGATTAAACTGTTCTAGATCAATGTGCACATCTAAGTACATGCATGCAATATCCTTCAAACAAAATAAAAAGTACACGGTATATCTAAAAGAATTCAAAATGTTTCTGCCATTAGAGGGGGTAATTCATATTACATGTCTGAGCAATACTAAACTCAGATACTATCTATTAAAATATGTCCCCTAACTGAAACTTTCATTTAAAGTGCATATCTCTATTGAAGCACTGAACTGTCATGTTAAGGCATTTTTGATTGATATAAATGACAGAGCTTTTCAGGCAAGTATCATGTTGCTTTATCAATATAATCTTTATCATGTTTTATTTGGCTTTTGCAGCTAAAGGTAAATTAGATGAACTGAAAAGGCCTAAGACAGGTGGTGGGCCAATCCCCAAGGAGCCATCAGTTTATGAAAAAATATTCATAGAGAGTCATGATGGGAGACCAAACATAGTTGGGCTAGGAACCTGTCTGGACACAGAAGGTAAAGAAAATGACTCCATATATTGGTAAAATTTATGAGATCATAAAACGAGAACATCTGTGACACTATAAGCTATTTTAACTCTATTTCTTGTAATTAAATTCACAACACACAGAATCTGAGGAATACAAATTTAAAAGCCTTCATACATTATCTTATTGTGTAAATTCTGCTTTCTGATTTATTACTAATAATAACTGTATTCTGATTTTATTATGCCCATAACATAATGCAAGTAAAAGATACTTAAAAGTTTATCAAGGTTTCAGATTTAGACAGGTTCCAGATTACTTATATCCATCTCTCTGTCCATCTGTACACACGCAGGCAGACAGATGTTTCACTATCACATGTATACAGTAGAAAATATAAGATATATGTATTTTGCAGATGAAAAGTTAGAAAGCAGTTTGACCAAGACAGTGGCCTTAACATTACCAGGTACAGTGTATTTAAAATGATAAAATATAAGGCTTTATATTTGATAACATTAAAATGCATGGGAATTTTCTCATTATCATAAGGACATACCATACAAGCTTTTTAAAAATGCTTGTTAATTGATTTCAGTGTTATAATTGTGCTCAAATAGACAAGAAGTGATGTTACAAATTAAAATTAAACCATTTGATCATAAATTAAGGTTCAGACCCCAAGTACCAATGATATAACTAGGGTATTGTACCATTGATATACATGCAAAAAGATCATTTTGTTATGACCATAGATGATTAGTCTCAAGGTCCATAAACATCTAAAGTGATTGCATTTAGTGAATGTACATTTATGGATCCTCATACTAATTCATTTGGCTTTTTGTTGCATAGTAATAAATGTGTGAAAGTTATCAAAGGGGATAGATACCCCAAGCCACAGTCCAGACAGTTTTCAGGTCAAAAGACAGTTTGCTAACATTTATAGGGTAAATGTGTTATAATCTACCAAACAGGGCACCAATGACTGAAAGCAAAGAAAGTTAAAATAATTCAATACATTTAAAAACCTTTAACATATCCAATTATTGTTAATTTACCTTTTTTCTTTTGACAGAAGCAGATACCATTGCAGCAGAAGGCAGTGTTACAGTAACACTAACAGGTAGTACTATTTAAAATTGTTTTTAACTTTTTGTAATTGTTACAGTCAGGGGAACCTATCAGCATTTCTTTGAGTGCAATATGATTCTTGCTTGATCATTATTTCTCCCACCATTCACAGTCGTGTCTCCCGTTTTAGCAGGGAAAGATCAGCTTGTCACCACCTAGGATTTTGTATCTGAACACGAAAACAAAAGCACACTTAAAAAAACACTCTGTAACATAAATTTGTTGAGAAAGTTTTTAATTTCTGAAGATGAATCACGTCCAATTCACGAAATACCACCAAACGATCTGGATCGGTATTTAGCAAAATTTTCATTTGTGTCCGTCAGACACATAGCCGTTCCGGAAAATTCACTTACCTCTTCGCAAACGAATAATAATAATTCCCAAACACATAGACAACCAAAAAAAATCACCCCTCGAGTTGGAGATTTCTCGATCACACCCTCAGGGTAGGGGAAGATTCTATTAGTGAATGTCATATGAATCACAGAATGAAGATGGACAGGATTTTGTTTTAACATAGATTTTTATTCCATTTATCAACAAAGCACATACACATGACAGTATCATATAATCATACCATACAGCATTTCATAGCACACCTATCACCATTCACTAGTTTGAGCTTTCATACACATCGTACATCTATCATCGAAATGAAACATAATTTAAGATACAAACCATACATCTGTACCCACAAACATTCGTACACCATACATCTGTATAGAGACATTCATACCAAACTATTTCAATAGTACCACTCATCATACATCTGTATAGAGACATTCATACCAAACTATTTCAATAGTACCACTCATCATACATCTGTATAGAGATATTCCTGAGAATTAATGGATTGATCTCAAACTTCAATATATGTTCCTCTTGGTCCTAAGTTTGATTCTGGGGCTGATAAGAAAATCAAAATGGCCTACAGACGGCCATCATGGATTTTAACAATTTAATATTTTAACAACCAAGAAAAGAAGGGAAAGATCCAATTTTAAAGAACATAAAGATAAAACAATGTGGGGCACTAAGATCTCTGGGATCTTGCATGTTCAAAATGTATGTATTTTTTAAGATGCCAAAAGAGAAGAAATCCGGAGATTACGGAAGGAAATTGAAGGAACTAATTATCATCATAGTATGTGATGTTTGTTAATTATTTCATAGCTTAAATATTTAAATATAAAATATTTTAATATTTTAAATATAAAAGATACTATTCAAGAAGTCAGTCTATCAGTTTCCATGATGTACAAGCATTCAATATCGGAAAAAGATGTCATATATATTAGTTACCTCTTTATATATATATATATCCATACACAAAGTGCTATAGCCATGGAGTAATCTAAAAATAATTTTAGATTTTTTTTTATTAGTCTGTCTAGTCTAGAGTTTTATAAGTTCATTGAAATCTTATACAAAAGTAATAGTTCATAATAACAATGTAAGATCTGATTTAATAAGCCCGACATCATCAAATTTTCCAGTGTCATTCGGGGATGTCTTTTTTGGTAATAACAGATATAATATATCAATCGATAACTTCACAGGTTCCTCTACTCCTAAGACAGCCAAATTTTCAAGTTTGAAGAGGATGAAGAGAGCAAGACATGATGACCTTGAGGAAGAATTGTTACAATTGGAAATAAAAAGAGTGAAAATGGAGATAGAACTGCTTGCCATGAAGAAAGAGAAAACTAGAATAAAGATAGAAAATGCCAAAGAACAGCAAGCTATTATCAAAAGCCAGTTTGAGACCATTCAACTGTATGATCTTCATCAAGTGTCTTAAATCTTTTTCTTCATGGCAACCGGTTCTATTTTCATTCAAATTGCCCTTCGTCTGTGGTCTGGTATTTATTGTTTGTCTATGTGCTCCTAAACATTTTTGTCATTTCTGTTTCTTCAGATTTACTTGATGGTTCATATTTAGATATTTTATATGTAGGGTCCTATTGTTGCCTAGTTGTGCCCCTTTGATTTTGAGGCTTATCTGAAAAAAGAAGTGGCTGACAGGCAGTCATCTTGGATTTGACTAATAAAATTTGTTATCGATTGCTATCTCTTGAGACGTTCATGGTGGATCATTCTCAGATTTGATATAGGTTCCCACATTTCTCAGGCTTGCTCTTTTGATTTGATTATTGCCAGTATTACTATTTCTTAAGAGGAATTTTTCATTATAAAGAGAAAAGAAAGGAAGGGCTCCAACTTTAAAAGATCAAATGAATATCAAACAATGTGGGGCACTAAGATTGCTCTTGAATCTTTGTAATGTACATTTGGTCCCAGGTAATTTTTTTGTAAGAAATTTGAAGCAAAATTGAATAGAATAAACACAGAAGACACCTGACTGCAGGTCAAGGTCACAAGATCAGACTCAGTGGGTTCAAAAGCAAGGTCACATTTTCTGTCTCTCAACGGCGACATAATTCTCTGTAACTTTTTGAAACAAAAATTGTTGATATGAAATCACTTCATTTAAAGTGATGGTCATATGCCTTGGACAAACGTTTATGTCAGTTATGAAATGCTTTTCCTTGTGAATACTTTATCATGGTATGAATCAAAACTATCAAAATGAAACAAGTAAGTGTATGATAACTTATCAGTATTAACCTTTCAGCTGGGCTTAATTTAAGAGCTGAACATAATGAGTGTTCGTACTCTAGTTATCCTAGATTTTTTCTTCTATACACAACTATAATGACATGTATACACTCATAATACTAAAATACATCTGAAAGTACAAATTCACTGGAAAAATGTTATCCTGATATGGTCTCGCATAGCATTACCATTGCCATCAGTGGTAGTACTGTCTAAGCCATTACTGTCACTTTCCTCATAATTTTCAAGAAGACCTACAATATCATTCCTGGCAATCCCAATATTGTGCAAAACAGCACAGGCTAATGTTATTGTGGCAGCCTTTAAAGGCTCAACTCGTAAGCCTAGTGACAGACAAGCAAACCTCCTTTTCAATATTCCAAATGTCTGTTCAATTTTTACCCTGGTCTTGCACAAAGCATCATTATATTTTGTGTGTGATGGTGTAGATGGATGGCTGTAAGGGGTCATTGAAATGTCATGCAAGGGTATCCAGAGTCTCCAAGTAAAATTCCATCGTAATTGCCTGTAATGCAAAACATAATTATGTATCTCTAAATAAACTTGAATTGAGATCCTAACATGTTAATTGAGGTGCTATGAACATGTTCAAAAATGGCTGAGTTAAATATTCTGTCATCTTACCTGTTAATTTATGCCAGTACAGAAAAATGTAAAATATCTTTTGGGTCTAAACAAGGTTATTACCAGTAGGAAAAAGGGGAATAGAATGACATCACAGTATCAACAGTAATGATTCTGAATGACCATGCTGGAACGCACAATTTTATAATTCAAATCATGTTGTGTAAAGAGCACAGATATGCACTCCAACACTAAGGCCAAGATTAAACTGCCTTGCACTCGCAAACCAAGTTCTTGATAAACTCGGTCTGAAATATGTCGACATCAAGGATGGTTTTTCAGTCAAAATATATAATCTAAAAGAATTGTAGAATCGTTTGTGCATTTCTATTTCCTTACCATTTTCAAATTTAAAACAGATATTTGACCCTCTGAAGATTCTAGCGTCATGAACTGATCCTGGCCAGTTTGCCACAACATTTGTGATCCTGTATTTGGAGTCGCATGCCATCTGAAAAGCATTCGCATTGTTTTGATTAATAATTTGCATTGAAAAAGCATTGAAAACACATATGGGACCCAATCAGATAGAAAAACAGAATCATTCTCTTTCCCTAGTTATGATTTTATACGGTTGTACTAAGATGAACATTTGGCTTAAAGGCCTTTTATTTCATACGACAGCATATTTTCTTTCAAAGAATAGTGTTAATTTAAAATTTGTTATCCACCTGTACCTGAACATTTAGTGAGTGGTAGCCTTTCCTGTTTACAAAATCAGCTTCGTTCTGATGTGGTGCTTGGATTTTTATAAAAGTGCCATCTATACAGCTGAGTACATTAGGGAATCCTGAAATATTTGATAATAATAAATCAATGTATATGTATATAAAGAGAAAATGAAATATTGACAATATTTCTATACAGTGTGCATAAATGATGACATACAAAATGTATAAAGTGTATATTATGATTTATTATTTACATGAATGTATGGTTCTTGAATGTACCGAATAGGGTATCCTGTGTGCAAAATACATGTATGCCTTGATTTACAAACTCAAAATGGCACTCTGAACTTGTCATGATACAGATATTGTGTACAGTGTTCTTCAATAATGTATCAGTATTTATTTTTATTTATTTCTGGCAAATAAACGTCGGAGTAATAATTATAATCTAAATATATATTATGATGAGTGTATATACATACATTGGGCTGTGGTTGGTTGGTGTTTGTGGTTATGTGGGTGCCTGCAGGATAGGGGTGGGTTCAATAAAGTGCATTTAGCACCTCGTGTTGAGTTTGTCTGTGTCCGGTTGGCATTCATATCCCATGAATGCTGACCGGGGGCAGTCCAATGCTTATATATATGTGCATATTTCAATACTTATATTTCAGTGCTTATATTTATATCTTTTCAATTTTCATAAGGGAAGACATACTCAGTTTCTGTACAGTACTTGCAGTATCATATGCTGTTGGCAGGTCATAAGCTGGTAATACACAACTGATGTTAGTAATGTTAAGTAAGCATTGTCATACAATGGTTATTGTACATGTGCCTGTCTGTTTAGGTATTTAAGGTGTATTACAATACACTTCTATAGTTTCTGGTATTGTACTGTATTTAATATATATTGTAAAGTTTGTAACACTTTAATACCCAGTGTAAGGGTGTAAAGTAAAATTTTAAGTAAATGAGACGTTAACCTAATCTTGTTTTTCACAATAAAAACTTTATTGCATAATACATCAGTAAATACTAAAAAAAATGTAATGTGCCATTATTCAAAACTTTTCAACATTAATTAGTCTATCATTGTTTTAACTGCCCCATGTGAGCCTCAAACACGTGACCTAGAGGTGGAGGGCTACTTGTCCCACTGGCATGTGAATGAATTGTCTGGCCAAACTGGAAATTGCCGAGCAGACGGAGAATACTGTTCTGGATACCTGGCTTTCCGAAATTCCAACAGAGTCCCCAATGAGCCGCAAAAAAGCACCAGTTGACAGAAACCGGAGTGTTAAAAGCACCTGTTCTAAAAGAGATAGTGAATAGTTTCTGTTCGTTGGTCTTGAAATTTTTGCCTTTATAAAATCGACGATATATAACAACGTATCGTACGAAAAACGATACCTCGAAAATATATCTTCATCTGACAGATCTTCAATGCTTACACGCGGTAAGAATATCCGTTTTCGTCTTCTGTGTCTTCTGCGTCTCAGTCTTGAAATGGTAGCCATTTTAAAGTTAACTTTGAGGTTGCTATGTGGCTCCCTCAAAAAATTGAGGAAAATCTCACATTTATTTGAGGAAAACTACAGATTTCGGTTTTATACAAGTGAACTTAAGGAAAATCTCAGGATTTGAGGAAAACTCAGATTGTTTGAGTTGAGGAAGGCTTCAGCAAGCAATTTTGAGGAAATCCTCAAAGTTAAGGAAATCTCAGTACTTAAGTAGTTTTATACAAGCGGGACCAGGCCACGGTAATCCTCGTAGCTCCACTGTGGACGATACAGCCGTGGTTTGCGAATCTTCTGGCCCTCATGGCAGCTCCAGCATACATACTTCCACCAATTCAGCAGACAGTTCAGCATCCAGTCTTCAAAGGACGGAGACATCCCATCGGAAACCTTCGTCTGGCTGCCTTTCTGCTCTCAGGGAACGACTCTGTAACCAGGGTTTATCACAAGACATTGCCCAAAACAATATAGGGCGTATTTCGAAAAATGGATGTGTTTTTGTGTTAGAGACCAAACTAATCCGTTTGCTCCATCTGTTTCCAAGTTATTAGATTTTTTGTATGAGATGTTCAGAGAGGGAAAAGGATATATGCTATCAGCTCTGCTAAGTCAGCCACAATCGGGTTTGTATCATTAGTAAATTCAGACTTAAAGCACTTAAATGAAAATCCTTTTCTTATCAAGTTCATGAAAGGAATATTTACCAGGAAACCTACACTACCTCGTTATACAGACACCTGGGATGTAAATATTGTACTTGATTATGTGAAAACACTCTGGCCTTTACAAGACCTTACATTATTACAGCTATATTGTCGCTTAGTAACTCTGTTAGCTCTCGCGACAGGCCAACGTGGACAGACTTTGAATGTGTTGAAGTGTTCAGATTTACATTTTTCTGATGATGACCTAGTTATTTCCTTTTCTTCTTCATTAAAAACTTCGAGACCTGGATCTCACGAGGAAAATGTAACTTTACATAGATTTTCGGAAGTAGAACTCTGTGTGATTACATGTTTGGAGCATTATTTGGACAAAACCTCGCATTTACGGACTTCTAATTGTAATGAGCGCTTATTTGTTGCTTCCACACCCTCACATCAAGGTGTGTCTAGAGACACCATATCCCGCTGGATTAAGACGGTTTTGTCAGGGGCTGGAATAGACATTGCAAAATTCTCTGCTCATATTGTGAGGTCAGCGTCATGCAGTGCAGCCATTAGGGCTGGTGTTCCCCTGCAAATTGTATTAAAAACTGCAGGTTGGAATAATGATAGTATTTTTCGGGGGTTTTATCTCCGTCCACTGCAAAGTGATCAAAATGAAGCAGACTCGACTCGTACACTATTAATTAAGATCACATGAATAGTGTAACTGACTTGTGTGACTGACCTATGGTGTAACAAATGTGCAGTGTAATGTTACTGACTTCTTAAATGTGTTCTTTGAGAATGTTCATAGGGTAAAAAAGCCCCTGTTTACATGCTTGTTGTTTTAATAAACTGAATTAATTGAGAAAAATGGATTGTTTTATATGT